CCCACTTCTTATGCATTATACAAAATATGCCACAATTAAAGTCCGATTCTACACTTTTTTGTGCATCATGTACTAGTCCATTAAAACATTTTTTATAGGTGGTAGAGCCATGCTGCAGTTATATTAGTAGTATAGGTAGTTGTAGCACGAATAGGCCGGCTCGACCGAGGAAGGACCACGCTCTCACCGAATACCAGCGTGAAATAATAGCTTAATGCTTCTGTGTTTCGTATGGTGAGTGTAGAGAACCGGAGAGCCTCTTTACTGGAAACGAGGTGTTCCATCTTAGTCCTCACGGGTGACACGCATCTGCATTTTGATTTGTAATCGAGGATAGATGTAGATATCTATGGGCCGCAGCAACCACCACAGGTGGAATGCGTGCTCTTTTGTCACCCTATCCTATAAGTGTATTCATTTCAAAGATGAGAGCCGTGGTGGCTCAGAAGAGCTGTGGTAGCTCAGATGGTTAGCTCTCGCTGTAAATTTCACAGTACGCTAGCAAGCCGGGTTCGATCCCCGCTAGCAATAATGAAATTGTTAATTGCAATTTTAAGTGCTCATCTACCACATGCTCGGCGGTGAAGAAAGACATTGTGAGGAAACCTGCACATCTGTGAAATAAGAAAAAAAATATTTCGAAGACATGTGAAGTTCGCCAACACGCATTGGGGCAGCGCGACGGAAACTTCTTTGCCCTAAAACCCTCTGAGAAATAAGGGGATGCCTTTGCCCAGCTGTGGGGCGTAAAAAGACTGTAACTTAACTAACTTAAGTATTCATTTCGACGATGAGAGAGCCCTGGTAGCTCAGAATTACCTCTCGCGTTAAATTTCACAGTACGCTAGCACACCGGGTTCGATACCCGCCGGCATCAATGAAATTACACTCACCGGCACGGAAACTTGGCCAAGCGGTTATCTCGCGATAGCAAAAGCTTTAAGTGTTTCTGATGAATGTTTGTTATGCAAGTATGTCAAAAAATGTTTACCCTCAAGTTCAAGAGGGTAATTCATTATGTTTAAGTGCACCATGACGAATTCTTTAATTTTTAGTTGAATCGGGTCATTTGAGCGACTAAGTTCACATTTTAAATTTGTGTGTTGTGAAAAGTTTACTGTAAGGTTATTCAATTATTGTGATCTTGTGTCTTAATTAAATAACTAAAGGTGCTTTAAAGCCAATAAAAATGCCATTAACATCAGCACAAGTTGCACAAGCAGTAGCATTAATTGACCAAGGGCTGACACAGCGTGAAGTTGCTATTGTGCTTAACGTACCACGGTCCTCAATGCAGTATTCACTGAAACGATACCAGGAGACAGGCCGCTACACCCGCAGGCCAGGCAGTGGGGGCGTAAGGTGCACATCGGCCCGGAACGATCGTTTTATTGTTATGGAGATTTTGAGAAACCGCTACCTGACCGCTGTTGAGATACGCCAGCGGCTCCAAATCGCAAGAGGCGTTAATGTTAGTGAGCGTACGGTGAGAAGACGAATGGAGGAAGTGAATTTAAAAGCTCGTAGACCAGCACGAGGTCCAGAACTTCTCAGACAGCACCGAGTAGCCCGACTTCAGTTCGCAAGAGAACATGTCAATTGGACCCACGAGCAATGGGCTAGAGTGTTGTTCACAGATGAGTGTCGAATAGCTTTACGTGCTCCAGACGGTCGAGAACGAGTGTGGAGAAAAAGAGGAGAGAGGTTTCTACCCATTACCACCACCCAAACTGTGAGTTTCCATGGAGGCTCAATAATGGTATGGGGAGGTGTAAGTTCTGACGCACGTACAGAGTTGGTCATCGTCGATAATCGGCTTACAGCTACTCGATACATCGAGGAAGTTCTTCAGGAGCACGTAATGCCTTATTCGGGATTCATTCAATCGGTCGGGTCGGGACACGACCAATTCCTCCTCATGCACGATAATGCACGCCCGCACGTCGCACATTGTGTAGAGGAATATCTGGAAGAGGTTGTAATACAAAAATTACAGTGGCCAGCTCGTAGCCCGGACTTAAATCCAATTGAGCATGTATGGGGTATGCTCAAAAGAAAGATAAAGTCCAGCTCCAAACCGCCACAAACTCTAAATGAGCTCCGAAATGCAGCGCTGGCCGCTTGGGACAGCATACCGCAAGTTGATGTCAGAAACATCATTCAAAGCATGTCAGATCGAATGCAAGCGGTTATCAGGGCTAGAGGAGGAAACACCCGATATTAAAACTGATAGACAATAAAGAAACAGACTTAATTTTTAACTTTGTAGTGTTTTTAAAGTGACAATGGAAAGATGTTAATTTTAGTGAAAACATGTTATCTTGAAAAGAAAAATTTCGGTGAAGTAAACATTAAATTTCTATGTTCTAAAACCATTAGAGACACTTATTGAATGCATCTACCCTTAATTTACTGTTAAAAAAACGTTTCAGTGCAAATAATCAGCAAATTCACGAGTGGCCAAGTTTCCGTGCCGGTGAGTGTATTAATTGCAATTTTAAGTGCTGATTTACCTCTTGCTCGGCGGTGAAGGAAAACATCATGAGGAAGTCTGACTGAGAAATAAAAAAAATATTTCTAAGGCATGTGCAGTTCGCCAACACTCATATGGGCAGCGCGGCGGACACTTCTTTTCAGAAGTGAAGGAAGGCCCAGCAGTGGGGCGGAAATAGGCTGTGTAACTTAAAACTTAACAATTTCGACGATGATAGTCAATAATTAGCTGAACAAATTATAGCTAGGCAACAATAAAAACTAAATGGATGGATGGATATAAGTATAAAATTGAATAAATATATAACATAGGTACTAATTTCTTTAAAAGGCTCCTGGTAATTGTTGGATTTACTGTATCTACAGTACAATTCATTTACGAATGGTACTGTAGGTAGCAGCAATCTTGCTATAGGTTGAAACATAACGCAACGTTACACGATTTGCAAAGTACATACAGATAAAAAGTACACTAAAAAAAAAAAATATAAGAAATATGTGTCTGAGGTGACCTTAAAAATCACAACCTGTTCATATTAAATTAAAAATATTAAAAAGCATATTATGTAAATACTTTCTAATTTTCTGATTTAATAAATTGTTTAAAAAATTCCGAAGTCTTGTGTTAACATACATGACATCCAAATGCCACATTCAATTTTTCATAAATCATCGAATAATCGTGGTGTCAACCAAGCTCCATTTCTCTGCTCAAGGGCGCTAGAATCTTTACCATTCTAACCATTCAACCGAATTTGAACTTGATGCAGTATGGCAAACTTTAGTTCCTTTTTTCGCCACCCGCAAAACAGAGAACTAGAATTCACTACTGCGGACGTCTCAAAAATGGACACTATTGCACCTATTGCGTATTTACATTAAAATTTTGAAAGTATTGCACTTTATCCTCATTTTAATGTACTAAAACTGTGAAAGATGAACAATTACACATATTTTAACACAAAACTGACAGTCAAAACTAAAATTTTATGTACATTTCAAGTCAACTTTCCTCAACCAGCATGTTAGTTCTAAGATAGCAGTTTGCTTCATACATATTAAAAAACGATTTTACACGTACTTAATAAGATAAAACACAAAATAAGATTACAAATAAGAAGGTTACTTACCCAGGCATTGTTTTAACACAATTCACCACACAATAAATATAAATTAATACAAAATAATTACAAACAACTTCGTTGTTAGCGCGCGTCAATCACACTAATGGCTAACTCAAGGAACGGACGACATTTAAGAACGATTTAAATAAAATATACTACTAAAGTGTATAAGCTGTGGGGTTTTATGCTAGCCTTTTTTATCCTGTACACATTGACATATGGTAGAATGAGTTAGAAATATCGCATAATGCTTTGTTTCTTCATTAAAAGAGCGGGTAAAAATGTCTAACACTTGGACGCCCGCAGTCAACGGAGATATTTTCGTGTCCAAGTCTTGGACATCCGCAGTTAAGAGGATATATAAGTATATACACATACATAATTAATTATTCTTGGTACAGTAATTTGCATAACCAGAATAGTTAATAAATACATTTTCAATCTTGTAGATGATTAGACATTTTTCTTACAGTAATTTATTCATTTTGAAATTCTTGTAATACAAATCATGAGCTATTTATCAAATATTTAAGAAAATCAATTGCTATAACTTAATGTAATCAAATATTATATAGTTAAAAGTGCTTGAGAACATGCATTTCCAGCTGCGATATATACATATAGACGTCAAGTTGCCGTCTATATCGCGCAACGTGGTGCAATGTCGCTTACCTTATACTAGCCCATTTTACCAAGCCCTTTTAGATTCTATAAATATATTTTTTTTATATAGGACAGGGTGACAAACGAGCACACAGCCTGATGGTAAGTGGTTGCTGTGGCCCATAGACATCTATATCTATCCAAAAATGCAGATGCGTTGTCTCCCGTGAGGACTAAGATACACTCACCATACGAAACACAGCAGCATCACGCTACTATTCTACGCTGGTTTTCTGTGAGAGTATGGTCCTTCCCCGGTCAAGCCGACCCATTCGTGCTACAACTATACTACTAATGTAACTGCAGCATGGCTCTACCACCTATAAATGTCTAGTAAAATAATATGAGATTTTCGTTACTAACTTTATCCCTTTTCTTCATAAGTATCTATAACTAATGTGTGTTTTATGACTTTATAATTAAGGACCTTTTACAAATTTTCATAATATATCTGCATATGTAACGTTAATTTCATAAAATAGTAGTAAAAAATTATTGGTTTATAGTAATATTATATTGGTTTATAATAATATTATATTGGTTTATAGTAATATAAAAATTATTGGTTTATAGTATTATAAACCAATTGAAACCAAACATAAGTAGGTATTTGGGTTTTTCAAGATTTTATGATTATAATACAAACCCAGTTCCTTAATAGGAAAAACTTAAGAAATCATAATCGTAATTTTATTTAAATTTTAATGTTAACAATTACAGGAAAACTATCTCAAGTTCAAAACACAAATGTGATTGAATCCAAGAATGTGAAAAATGCAACAGAGGAACCAAAAGTTTCTCCAAATGCTACTACAATAGAACAAAAACCACCCAACGTTACAGACACTACACACTTACAAGAGACCTCAACTGTTCCTAGTAAAACAACAAATGCTACTCAACCTGCTTCTGATGAAAATAAGACTACTCCTGATAAGAAGAACACAGTACCACAAATAGACACTGATAAAAAAAATGAAGAGTTACCTAAAGTAACTGAAAGTACCACTGAAACCAAGGGCACTGTAGATAATAAAGACAAAGCCAAAAATTCAACAAAACCAGAAGAAAATCCTGAAAAAGATACTGCAACTGCTACCACCACTGAGAAGAGTGCTGTGACAAACAAGCCAACTGAAGCTCCGAAAAAGGATGAGGATAAACCTACACTACAAGCTAGAGGGTATGTTATTGATTATTAGTGTAAATTTCAAATTATGTTTTATCTTGTCATGTAGACTTGTTGCTTGTAGTATCGATTCAGTGCCAATATGGACTAATAACTAGAAACAAGGTAATGTTTTTAATCATTAGTCAATATTGAATTCAATTCTCTGACGACTCTAAGATGTCTCTAAGTTGAATTGTGAGAGACCTAATTCCAGTTGTTACTAAATTTAGCAACCACAGATGGGCCGAATATTCGTTTCATATTCGATATTCGGCAGCTTTACCGAATATTTCGTATTCGGCTAAATCACTGAACATTCGTTAAAGTGGCACTCTAGATGTCCACTGTATTGAAAAGTACGGATTGAGTAATGCCACAGTATAATAAAGACATACAGTAGGACGACGCCTTTGATCTCTTGGTAAATGCCGACAACGTCTGGACAACGCATGGAAGCTAGGGTTGTCACAAATCAACAACTTTTACTAATTTAATTATTTATTATGGATCCACATCATCATCAACAGTCATTGGTTGGTAAAAGTAATGTTGGTATAGCTGTTTTCTTCAGTGATTTCTTCCCGTGCATACTCTTTTCGAAATGCAACTGCAAATGTATGTATTCTTAAGACTTTCGAAAGTTCTTCCGACTAAATCAGGTCTTTCATCCATAATTTGCATCTGAAATTTTTAAATGCAATACCTATTAATAAATTTTCATAATTGTCACCCCGAAAAACCTCAAAATTGACATCCGTATAATTTTTTTTAAATCCACCATCTTGGATTTCAAAATAGATTCTATTTTCCTAATCAGCACCCCAAGACACCTCGAAATCGATACCCATATCATATTTTTAAAAAGTGTCCGCCATTTTGAGTATGAAAATGAATAGCGTTTTTTAATCATCACCCCAAGAAACTCAAAGTTGACATCGATAACATTAAAAGAAAATATGCCCACCATCTTGCAATTCAAAATATGTCATTTTCGTAATCAACACCCCAAGAAACCTCGAAATTGACATCCACATCCATCCATCTATATTATGTTAAAAAATGACCACCATCTTGGATTTAAAAATAAATGCTATTTTTGTAATTAGCACCCCAACAAACCTTAAAATTGACCCCCTTAATATTTTATAAAAACTTCAAAAGACCAAAGACGAGGCACTACAGTATGTTCTAAGACCTTAGCCTGTCCAACCACACGATTTGTATGAAGAAGAAAAAATCAAACTTCGAAACACATGCCTAGCGACTAGTACCTATTTTTATGTCCGCATGACATAAACAAAATATACACCATTCAAAATAATAATAACAACATTTATTTACCTTTCTCAATCGCAGATCCTTATTTATGCGTGATGATGACTTGCAATCTCTCACAGCACACGTCTTATGCACCATTTTAATTATAGGTACTTACACTAAATTTAACAATAATAAAAGCAAACACTTGTTAACCCTGCAAGTGGTATCCCGAGTTACTAATAAAATTGGCATAAGCAACTCGGGCTCGTCCTTCCCGCGTCTCGCCCCGAACGCCCCGCTCGATTGCCCTATCTACTACTACTACTGTATGGATATATATTATACTGTAGTAATGTTATGTGTCATAATTGTAAAAAAAAAAAAAATATATATATATATATAATTATGATAATAATAATAAATGAATATACGAGTTATGTGTTATCAGACTTTTCAGTGTGACAGTTTTTTCCAGTGCTACTGGTTTGGCTCATTTTTACGTTAAAAACCATCATTTCAATGCTATATAGTGCGTTGGAAAATTCTACAGAAAACATCTAATCACTATGGTCTGTGAGCTATTTTATGATAATTATGGGCGTATTATGTGTTACAATCTTCTTGACATATCTACCTGGATGTAACGATCCGAGTGATTTATATATTTATAATATTATTTAAAACTTAAGCTTAAATAACATTCTAATTACGTGAAATATATAACATACGCCCTTAGCTTAGGTAGGACGACTGGCCAATCCTATAAACATAAATCCTCAGTTAAATTATAATTTAGTATGGATGTATTGTGCATGAAACATAATTAGATAATAATTAATATGGTAGAATTTCGTGAACATCTAGTCTCAATTTCGTGATCATCTAGTTTTAAAATAGAGTGTATTTTAAAACATAAATTCTTGTAAAATTTTATGCTTTACACTTAATCTTTTTACTCCTTATATTTGGTTAACCATTATTTATTTTTTCATTTTATTCCTCAGCATTTTAGCTATTATTGCAATTGCGCTATTTCTTTCACATTCCACATTTCATCGCATTCGAACAACCTTAATAAATTAATCGGTTATTAGGTTTTACCCAAACTCTCAGCTGATCAGGCCGATTGTATGTGGATATGCTAACCTCCGACAATTTCCTTTACCTATCACACGTTTTTACTATACAGGTTTATTTTGCAATATCCGGCCAAATTTGCATAAAAGGTTCAGAATAAGTAAAACCAGGCATATGGTAATCTCAAACATTCTGTCCCCTTTATATTCTATATTAAAAATGCGTGGTAATACGTTATTTTAACTGATTTTACTGCGTACACATATTCGTAAGGGTCGATCGGCAGGCAAAAACATTGTTTCCCATAAATCAAATTCAGTATAAGATAATTTCAAATTAAAGTAAAAAAGCCGTATTTACTCGTATTTTCCAAAACTGCAATAATGCTATATCATTATTTATTTAATTGAACTTCAGTTTAAAAATTTGGCTACTTTGAAAAATAATCCTGTATATTACTTTTATCAATATTTTTCTAATTTATTTTTTTATTCCATTACTTATCCATTAATTTACAAAATAACATATAATCTCGTAAAATATAATTTCCATTGATGGAAAGAGCCTAACAGTGATCAGAACAAAATTTAAATAAAAATAATTGTATAATTCATTTATATATAATATGAGTAATACATTTTTTTTATTATGTGCGGTCAGCTATGCAGGTCTAGGGAAACAGACCAGTATCACTGCGACCTAGAAGATCTATTGTGATCGCTGCTATGGTTATAGTTCACGGCTAAGCCCTATGTCTTCAATGAATAGGAGTTGCTTAGCCGTGAGCAATTTCACTTCTTCTGGGCGGAGTAGATAGTTTCCCAGATGAGTGTTACGTTTGCACATTAAGGGTCCGCAATCAGTTAGGATGTGTAGAGGTGTTTCTTCCGTTATGGAACAGAACCGACACATCCTTGAGTTGCTTAGTCCCAGGATGGACATGTGCTTTTTAAGACAACAGTGTCCAGTTAAGGCTCTTGCCAGAATGCACAATTTATTTTTACTTAATCTTAGGGCTTCTGAGGCGAATTTACGATCAAAAGCCCGGATTAAGGTTTTAGAATGTTTTAAGCCTGGTGTGTCAGACCAGATCTTAAGTGATTTATTGTGATAAAGAGTTTCAAGGGTCAATCGGGCTAGGCTTCTTGAGATTCCACAAAATGGCTTAGGTTCAAATTGTGTGCTCTTTGAGCCCTCCCGTCCAAGTTTGCCGAGAGCAAATTTGTTGCCTACAATACCCTCGTGACCCAGAACCCATCTTAAAATGACCCTGTTGTTACATCCCAGGGCGTTTAAACGGTTCACGCAGTCTCCAATTAGCTTCGAGTTCACTAAGTTTGACCTCAGCGCTAGCAGTGTTGCTTGACTATCAGAGTTAATGTAAATTATAAGGTAGATGTAGTGTTTTTGCAGATTGATTTCCGCACACCGAAGTATGGCGAAAATTTCTGCCTGGAAGATAGATGTGTGCTACCCAAATTCATACTAAGTTTGAATTTGAGGCGTTCCCAGTAAATTCCAAAGCCTACGTAGAGGCCGATTTTAGTCCCATCGGTATACCATATGAGGCTACCGACCTCACAGATAACCTGGCCATTCAGCCAGTCTTCTCTGGAGGGTAATTCCACTATATACGTTTTATCAAAAGTGTGTAGTGGACGCATGATATCTGAGATCATGCATAAGACCAGTGATTCCTTAATTGAGTCAAGCATGGCTCTCAATCTGTAGGAGAGCAAGCTCAGACCGCCCTGGGCGTTAATCCTATACAAACTAGCCCTCGCCTCCTTGTCTAGATAGAGATCAAGGGGCGTTAGGCATAGAAGTGCATTAATGGCCGCTCCAGGCGATGATCGCATAGCTCCAGTTGCCATTAAACCATTAAGTTTTGGTTGTACTAATTTCTCTGTCTCTTTTTGGTAAAGGGTATTATAACTATTTTATCAGCATTAACTGATAAACTGTTATCCCTACATCAGTTATTTATGGTGTTTAGGGCTCTTTGTATTATTGACGATAAAGTACTTTGGCAAAAGCCCCTCGCAATGATCACAAGGTTTCCGTAGATTTGCCACTGCGGTAAGCATGCTGGTTGTAATGAATGGGCCTCATAGCTAGAGCTACATCCCTTATATATCTATCTATAACCTTTTCCAATGTCTTAAGGAGAAAGGAAGATAGGCTTATAGGTCCAAAGGACTTTGGTAAAGCGTAGTCCTTTCTACCAGCCTTATTTTCACCAGATAAGGAAGAAGGATGTCGATAGTTGGATGGGAATTATTCCATGCTCCCCGCTTGATTTGAATGGTTGAAGTCTTGTATGACCCTGGGAAATGGGTTGACGCTAGTAACTCCAATATTTCTATTTCACTATTAGTAAAGTTACCATCCGGCTTTTTAAGAAGCTCGATCTGATTAGGTTTAGCTTTTCGATAGCATTTTGTTTATACACATTACTATATAGAAGTAATAAATTACTCCTATTATATATAAATAAATTAGTACCGATTACTGAGCTTTGCTCCATTTTTTTTTTTGAAATCATGTGTTTTGGAAAGTATATTTAGATAAAATTACATACTGTTGAAATATGAATAATATTTTTTGATCTTACCGACATAATAAGAAAAACTGAACTGGTTATTTGAATAAAAAAAAGTAAGTGCAATTAGTTTAATTTAAATTTTCGCGTTTTTGAAAAAATACTAAAAAAAGGCTCGAAATAATATTTTTTTTAAAGGGAACTTGAAAAAAAGAAAAAGAAGTCGGACCGGAGACAGGACTCGAACTAGGGTACTTAAATTACATTTTCGTGTTTTAAAAACAAATAAAAATGCTTGAAAATATTATTAAAGAAAAAGGGAACTTGAAAAAAAAAAAAGTCGAACCTAAGACAGGATTCCAACCAGGGTACTACGATTTTGGGATCACCCTATATTCCATTTGAGCTATTATAATCGTTAACAAGCTACTAAAATTTATCTTTTTATTCTAACGATATTGTATCACTTTTTCATTGCCTGAAAACACGGAAAAAACGACATTTTCTAAAAATAAATCCTAGCTAGATCGATTTATTGCCGCCGAAACCCGACGCTATTCCGATATCCCTGGCTTCAGTCTGTGCTAGTTTAGAATGGCTCTCAAGCACCTTAAAAACGGCAAGTTCTTAAAAAAAGGGCGAGGATAGAATTACAGGGGGTGGAAAACCAGTACTTGAAGTCTCTCTTTAATTCCGTCCTCCATGATGGCACTACTCCCGAGGCATGGAGCATAAGTGCGATGGTTTTTGTTCTTCAAGAGAGGTTACAACGCTCTCTTGAAGAACTACAGACCGATATCCCTTCTGAGCCGCGTCTACGTGCTGTTTTCGAGAGTCATTACGAATCGTCTCGCACGCAGACGCGACGACTTCCAGCCTCCCGAACAAGCCGGTTTCCGAAAAGGCTTCAGTACCATAGACCACATACATACCCTGCGGCAGATTGTACAGAAGACTGAAGAGTACAATCTGCCACTTTGCCTGGCGTATGTGGACTATGAGAAAGCCTTAGATTCTGTCGAAATTTGGGCGGTGCTACAGTCCCTTAGCAGTGCTAAGTGGACTGTCGGTATATCGAAGTGCTGAAATGTTTGTACAGTAGGGCTAAGAGAGTACGACGGCTCTTCTACCCTCTATATAGAGATAACTCTTCACCACTGCATTAGAAGACGTTTCCAAGCTACTGGACTGGAAAGAATACGGCATTAACATCAATGGCGAATACATCACCTTCGATTTGCCGACGATATAGTCTTTATGGCAGAATCGCTGAAGGACATAAGCACTATGCTCAATGACCTTAATAGTGTCTCCCAACGGATAGGTCTTAAGATAAACATGCAATACAAAGATCATGTTTAATGTCCATGTCACATCTATGCCGGTAGCTGTTGGGAGCGCTAAGCTCGAAGTTGTTGACGAGTATGTTTACCTGGGACAAATGGTCCAACTAGGTATAGTCCAACTTCGACTGAGGGAGAGGTCAATCGACGGATTGTTAATATACACCACAAAATCCGTAAAAACTACTTTTATTTAAATAATAAGTAATGTAGTAGTAAGTAAGTAAATAAGTAGTGTTTGCGTAAATATAAGAAATCATGATTTTAAATTCCAATCAATATTAAATCGAAAAGAAATTACTACATTGCATATTAAAATAAACAAAAGAAATAACAAGGGGAACTTAAAGTCGTCATTACTACCATAACGACAGACAGATCAAAATACAAACTGTAATCCAAGTCGCTTACGCGGTTGGGTTGCGACACCTTTGGTTGGGACACCTTTGTTTTAAATTCCAAAGTATCTATATGGAAAGGTTTGAGATTACATGAACAAGTGATCTTGCCTAATTTTATTGTAAGTTGTACAACATGTTATTATATGTATACAAGTAAAATGTATGTGCCTTGATATAATAGCTTTAAATATTAATCAATTTACAAAAAAGAAGATAGCTACATAGTGAAGTTATATTAGTTTTACATACATCGAAAAATGCATTAGCTTTTTTTTTATTTACCTTTGATATGATGTTTATTGTATCATATAACAACATTATTGAAAAATCACTACAACTACTATCAAGTTTATTCAACAAAATATTAATTTATTTAAACATTCAAAAAAAATAATTTTAATGTTTTAATTAGATTAATATATAACTAAGATTTATTGCTCTTAGAAAAAAAGAGAAACTAATACTTATAATAATAGCGAATAGTTTTTAAACCTTGTCAAAATTTTATACATTTAAATAAAACAGAATCTGTTACTGATGTGTTACCACTACAAAATATGAAAAACTTATTGATGTGTTAAATTTAAGTATGTAAAAAAATGTAATCTATTATTAATTTATATTATTTCATTCATACTTTTTGTAGGACGCAGTAATAAAAATAATATAAAACAATAACTGAATTAACGGGAATATAAAATTGTCTTGTGCCTTAATACAAACATGTTCCACATAAGTGCTATATAACCTAATCTATAATAATGCGTTATGATTTTAATATAGACACACTAATAAAACTATTAAAAAATCTATTTGTGAAATACATATCTGATAAAAAATATATTAATAGCAAAAACAACATTTAAAATAACTCAAATTATTAAAGTTTTAAATGGAATAAACAATCACACAATGCAACATACCGCTTCATTTCTTCTCAGTTCTTTTTGGCTCAATTTTCATATCTCTGGGCTAAGCTCGCTAGAGTACAACAAGTCTTTAATAATTTTACTTCTAATAGTTATCACTATTAAATATTTTGATTTTTATATTATCTTTGAAATTTTCATAATATTTATCTTTTTATTTCGATCTTCATTAGTTTATTAAATACTTTCAGTCATTTTCTTTAAAAATTAGTAAAATTGTGGCCATTTTGTGAAAATCAAATTATAAGAATATTATAATTTTTTTTTCATCAAGTCCAGTATTGCGTCCATTGCGAGTACATACTTTAATTTCGTTTTCTAATAACATTTAATATATATATATGTATATATAAAGAGATCAAAATACAGGAGAATTCGGAACCACCCCTTTTTTTTAAATCAACTAAAAATACAAAATGATTTCTTAAATTTACGCGAACACTATACATTGAATAAAACTATTATTTACGGAATTTATCGCTTTTAATTCAACTTTAATTTACATATTTTTATTATCCCGACGTTTCGGGTGCTTTACAGCACCCGTGGTCACGGGGGGGACTGAGATGTTTATTTTAGGATCCCAAGCAGCTGGCAGTACCCATCCATCTTCTCTATTGAAATTTGGATGTTTTTTAATTTCAATAGCCTCGCGTATCATCCTTGGTAGGAATCTAACAAATTACTGTAAGCTCATTTTGCGTAAATCGGACCAAAAATTATAAATAATTAATATTCAAAAACTGAAGGTAGCCGGACTAACTATGACATTGGGACGTCAAACATCTCAGTCCCCCCCGTGACCACGGGTGCTGTAAAGCACCCGAAACGTCGGGATAATAAAAATAAATTAAAGTTGAATTAAACGCGATAAAATCCGTAAATAATAGTTTTATTCAATAAAAATACAAAGTAAACCTATTTTATAAAAGGTAAACATTTTATGAGGTATGCAAGTACTAAAATGAATAATGCCAAATGTATGCCATAATGGCTTGTTTGGCTAATTACATAAATAATTATTGTTCCAAATTTTCTCATAAAGCACATCTTTGTTTCAGTTTTGATGGACCCAGTTTTATTGGTGGCATAATTTTGACACTTGGTCTACTTGCAATCGGATTTATGGGCTTCAAGTACTACAAGACACAAACTGAAAGGAATTACCACACACTCTAAATTTAATATAAAAGTGCACTATACTATTCCTTAGTTATGTTTAGCTATGTACATTATAAAAAATGTACCTTGTCAGTTTTGTTGTATATGAAGAATTGGATTTTAGTTTTATTTTTTATTTGTGCACTTAATGTTGCCAGTCTGAAAATGTGAATTAACAGGGTTTCCTTAGTTTCATTTTTCTAAGAATGAGATTAATTCTAAAGATTTAAAGTGTTGATTGGGACATTTAGTCAATATTTTTCGAATTCAATTGTGATAATTTTTACCACTGATAATTTAATCTAATTTTGCATGTCCAATCCATCTTTCATCATTTATGTTATTTGTCCTTTCCCTTTTTTATGTATATATCCATTTAAGTCTGCTTATCAATCTACAAATATAGAATGCATATTCAATATTTTATTGCCATTAGTAATTTTATAAAAATAATTATCTAAGGTTTTTTGTGAATTTATTAGATTTAAAAGCTGAGATTGATATATTCCAAATTATTAACTGTTTTGAAATGCATATATTATATATTGACAGATGTTAAAACACAAAGTGCAATATAGTCTTAGTAATGTATCTCATTTCCACTGGTGCCATTGTGGGCTAAATTATATGAAGAACTTTGACTGCACTGAATCCTCATTTTATATATAGTTGTAAGCATATAATTAAGTGTTTTTATAAGGTAACACAATGTGATGATGAAAATAAGGGTCTAAAATAGTATTGGTTTGGCACACTTCACTTCTCGAATCTCATGATTTTCCTTCTATAATCCCTTTATTATAAAAAATAATATAATATTCCAACAATTTTCCCATATGACCACGGACGTGATTGCGTCATGTGCTAAACCAATTTTTGCATTTTGCTTTTATTATTTTGTAAACTGGGGAAAGATCATTCCATCCTAAAGTGCTCTTAAAAATCTAATCTATTTACGGTTAGTTATGGAGTGTTTACAGAGTTTCCTACCATTGAAATATTTCTGCTTTTATTCTTGTGTCATGGTCAATAGTTACGTTAATAAAGATATATAATATATAACTAATGTTATTTCATTTAAAAGAATTTACCACCAGCGATTTTTCCGGACCTACATATACAACTCTTTTTTTAAAGGCCTGTGATTCCCCTGGTGTTGCAGCTGTTCATGGCCAGTGGTTGACACCATCAGATAAGCCGCATGCTCGTTTGCCCCCACTTCTATAAAAAATACTGCACTTATGACTGCAATGTTACTAATGATCGAACCGAATGAGGAAGGCCCATACTTACACATAATAGCAGCTTAATGGTATGTATGGTGAATAACTAGAAGCAGAGAACCTTTTTAACTAGTAACAATTCATTTTTAAACTGAAATATTTTACTTTAACGTTTACCACTTACCACAATATTGAAAAGACCCAAATAAGGCACGTGTTAAGTATTTAAGGGAGAGTTTCATCAGAGATACAAAAAATTATAGAGTAAATGAGGGCGTTATTAGTGACTTTCTGGCAACCCTACGTAGTGACAAGCCACACATTGCCGAGTTAGCCAGAAAAAGAGGCATTGACAGATTTCCTAGGTAGAAAATATGTAGTTTTGCGTTTCGCCGCCGGGCTTTTTCGTCGGGCTGTACAGTATCCTTACTTATAGCTTGGATTTTTTTTAATTTTCGGCAATCTATGTATTTATAAAAAATATCATTTCGTACTGTTAAAAAAATAACACTTCAAAAGATTTAACAACAAATGATTTATAATATGGTAATTTTCAATCCAAACAAGAGATATGTTAGTTTTGATATTTTTTAAGTTTATTTCAAATATCAAAGGATTGCGGGAAGTGTCATATAAAGGATTGCATAATAATGCCTGTAAAGAACTAAGAGAATCTGAAAATATTCACGCTTGATTTTAATTTAAAAAATAGCAATATTTTATTGATTGTAAAATGGCTAATATTTTCTCCAGTAAAAACTGAAGATTCGAATGGGAGAAAAGAGTGATCGACCTATAAATAGGATATAGTAAGGAATTATATTTTTCAGAGCTTTTTACTAGGTTCTTCTTCTTTTAAATTATGGCTTCTCTTGGTAGAATTCTGCCAGTGTCAAGTCAGTCATGGAAGTGACAAGATAATAATAGTTAAAATAAGAATTCTCAATTTAATGAGTGGGTTCACAATCTACAACAAAAGACGTCACATATTTAAACTACCATCACCAAAGTTGTTAAGTAATTTTACAGTTTAATATTATTAGTACGAATAAAAGCACATAAAATACTTACGAAGGGAGTATACATTAGGATTAGCAAAAATTGGAAATTTACTGGACGAGGGATGTAATTGGGCAGGATATCGTAGAGAGAGAAAGAAAGTTTAGGACACTCAAAGAACATGATTGACAGATCCTTCATCTAGGCCGCATCACAGATTGAGCTATCCCTAATCCTGAGTTTGGCCATGTATACAGGAGTACAAGCATGACCAAAGCGTAGGCGGCAAACAGTAGAAGTAGCTTTACTAAAGTGGCGATATTGAAAGAACCAGGGTTTTGATGGGATATTAATTTGGACTTTGGAATATTGATTACATTTTAAAAATTTAGACTGATGCCAATAACTTTGCCAAGAAGACAGAAGGCCGGAGTTGGCCTTTGGCAGGAGGTCATGTGCATAGAGGCATTGTCTAGGGATAGAGGCAGATTTTGTGGCATCTTTAGCTAAATTATCAGCAATTTCATTGCCCTGAATCCCGCAGTGGCTAGGGATCCAAGCCAATACAATGTTCAGCCCTTTTTTTATGACAATAGTACAGAGACTTTCTAATATTTAAAATTAGCGGGTATCTAATCTTAGAGTGAAAAGGACTGGATAAAATACTTTGAAGGCAACTAAGGGAGTCCGAGAAAATGAGGGTCCTTTTCAGACCATGTGATTCTGCATATGAAACTGCCTCTAAAATAGCCAAAGCCTCACCTGTGAATACAGATGAGTCAGGGGGGAAAGTTAAAATTTAAAATAATCCTGTATTTAGGGATCCATACTGCAGACCCTACTAATCCATAGTTACTTAACTTTGAAGCATCAGTGTACATAGTTAACCAATCATGCCAATTTTGGAGGAGGAGTATATTTAATTTGTTATTTGCTTCAATAGTATTTTTATCTATTCCGATATCTAGAATAATGTCTGGATTGAAAAATAGAGCCTCGTAAGGGATATTGTAAAGTGGGTTACTAATGGATTGATAAATTGGAGACGGAATGTTGAGCAATTTAATATAGCTTTTTATAATGCATGGCAAATCCTTGTGGGACCAATATGGGGAGTCCCTGACCAACCGACTTTACTGCGGAGTACACTGACGTAGTAATTATATGCACTTATTAAATAAATAGCAGAAGCTGCAATAACTTTTACGTCGTCCATATCATACCAATTGTCAATGACGATTAATTACGGCCAACATGTAGACAGTTCCACAAAAACTCGAGAGCATTGGAATTGGTTTCTTTCGAACTTGACCAACGTGTAGACTGTAACACTCGCCTTGTATCAATTTGTCTATTCTCGCGTTGGCTGCGGCTTAGAGTATGTATTGCCTGGATTAAGACTTTAAGTCTGACATTATCGTAAGCAGAAGAAATGTCAATGAAAGTAGCAAGGACCGATTCAATTCTAGAAAATGTTAGTCTTATATCTGTGGTGAATATTGAAAGAATTTTACCTTTTCTGAATCCATATTCAGTATGTAATAAAAATCTATGACTTTCTACATACCGTTCAAGACGGTTCTTGAGCATGTGTTCAAAAGTATTAGCGTTGAGGAATGAAGTTTGGAAAGGAGAGAATGGAGTGAATAACATGCTATTTTAAACAAGAACCTATCTGAGAGATATTGCCTACGTAGAGATAGAGGGGCTCAACACATTCAACTTGAAGAGCGAGAATGGGAGTGGACTTCTTGCTACCAGTTATTATACGTAGACATTTTGACAGGATTTTGTCCAAGGTATTAAGAGCCATTTTGCTACAAGGCTCTAGTAAGAAGCACCCATAATCAAAGTGACCTCTAATTAGAGCATTGTATAAAAGCTTTTGTGAGTAGGGGTGAGAACCCCACCAAGCACCTGATAGAGATCGAATAACATTGAGATTTTTTTCACATTTGGCGTCAATATATGATAAGTGAGGAATTCCTGTCATTTTGTTATCCACGATTACTCCTAAAAATTTACTTGATTTACAGTGGGGATTAGAGTATTATCAATGTAGATGGACACTTCTGGTATATACCTTCGCCTAGAGAAAAACCACAGTACTACTGCATTTTAAAGGGGACATTGATAAACCATGCTCCAATAGCCAATTATTAAGAAAGTTGACAGCTTGAGATAAACGAGAGGTAGCCTCAGTAATAGAGACATTAGATACATATAAGGCTAGATCATCTGCATATTGCAAAATATTACCTAGATAATTTACAGATCTATCTAAATCATGGGTGTAAAGGCTGTACAGCAAGGGGCTCAAGACAGAACCTTGTGGTAGTCCCTTCCAGGTAAATCTAGCTGGTAGAAATCTTCCTTCAGAACGAATTAATATGCGTCTATGTGAAAGTAGGTTTGCTATGAAATTTGTTATTCTCTCGGGAATGTTCAGCTGATGCATTTTTTGCCTGAGCAGAGGGAGAACAACATTATCATATGCTGCACAAACATCGCTGAAAATACCTACGAGAAAGTTGTTATTGGAGAATGCTAGTCTTATATCAGATACTAAAATGCTAAGGCTATCCATTGTGCTAAAAACCTTTCTAAAACCAAATTGAGTCTTTGATATATAATGCCTCTATTTTCGAGAATCCACTCAAGGCGATTTTTTACAAGATGTTCCATGACTTTCACTTCACTTTTAATGCGGAAGAGGGGTCTTTACCAGGTTTTAGAATAGGAATAATAATATGTGTTTTCCAGTCATCTGGAATAGAACCAGTTGTAAAAACCATG